TGAGTTTAAGCTTGATAATGCGTCGTCTCAATGAATCTATTCAGATTGCATATCTGCGAATTATAAAATATTATTTATGTTCTATAAGTTAGATAGTATTCAAAATTGGTAAAAATATATATATTATTTTGGCTGATCGTTACCTTAATGGTTTTTATCAAAAAATTTTTTATTCATATATGTGAAAATAAGTACATAGATCAGGACTTAGCCTGTGATACATGATGTCTATGCTAATACTCTATTCTATTATTTTGTTTTTACTTGCTTCGATAAATCCTGTGATTCAATCTGACTATCAAACATCCACTTGATTTGTCTAAACAAGTCCTTGATAGGTTCTACCAAATTGTCATTGGTCAATATAGCCTTGTTGATTGGTAATGAAGAGGGAGACAATGAACTTAACAATACATCCACTTTTCCTTTACTGTTATTATCAGAGCTAAATGAAACTAGCTTGATTATTATTCAATCTACAGTAATTGATACAAATCCCATATATTACGTCTTCCTGCAAATCTGCCGTATTATAAGTTTATTTTTTAGGATTGTGCTGGATAGATGTCTGCAGTTAGATCGCATTCTGTGCAATTTCTTGATTGATGTCCTCTTTTTTCATCTCAGTGATTATGATAATAATATTTTCTATCTTTATAGCCTAATCAACAGGACCTTTGCTGTGACTTCCTGAGATTTCATACTGAGAATAAATTTTTATTTCACCTCTATATATTGATGCTATACCATAAATGATACGGGAAATATACCGTCTAGTACTGCCTAAAGTATCTTGGGTCTTTTACAATTTATCTAATTTAAAAATTGAATAATACCCGTAGGTACTTTATGACATACTAGGTACATTTAATGGTAGGATATTATAAACTGGAGATATTGTATTATAGGGATATTTTGCAACATAACTTATAACTGCGCTAAATCATACATACAATAGTAGTTCACAAAAAAAAGATTAACTTTTGATAATCAATAAAATACTGATTTAATTATCTGATTTAACTTAAAAATGACTTTTTTAATACACTGTATATGTTACATAGCTAATCCTAAAATATAATATATAATAAAATGACTGCTGCCATAATTTTTAAAATTTTTTTTTAATTAATTTTATATATTCAGAAGAATCTTTCATATTCAAAAAATATATATTATATTTAGAATGGGATGAATGGGTTGGGTATTTTATATTCAATAGATATAAAACGGAAGGGTTTTTTAAAATAAATAATAAACAGCTGATCTTAAAATAATTACGGTATTATTTTTATGGTTTTTTATTTTTTTTTTAGGAAAATTGCAATATATAATCTATCATGTTCAGGAAATTTAAAAAATAGTTAAATCTTCTTTTTTATTAAATAATCACACTTTATTAATACTGATTTAGTAGTTATAGAAATAAACTGCATTGTTTTGGAAGAAATAGTTATCCTTCACAATTTCATTTCGCATTTCTTTTTTACATTTCCTTTTCGTGTTTCTTTTTGTACACTTTTAAAATTTCAAGGTATTAAATATATTTTATTAAATCTATTTGAAATTATATTAATAAATACTAACAATTTTATTTTATTTTAGTGTTAATAACATGGTTCGTAAAAATCTCCAAGCTCATCATATTAGAATTATAATAAAACGGAGAAGACAATAGACAGCAAGGGAGAAACTGATGATGATTGCATATTATGAAAATGATTACAGTAAACGATCAACAGCAAATAAATTTGAAATTGAACCAAAACAACTTTATGAGTGGATAAAAAATAAAGAACAACTCATGTAAGTGGTTTCTTACAATCAAAGACTTAATGGTGGTGCACGGCTAAATTATTCACATCTTGAAGTTGAACTTATAGAATAGTTTAGAGAATCTCGAAGCCAATTGAAAGTTGTTTCACATTATATGATTCAGGCAAAAGCACATTTTTTAGCTAAAAAACAAATTTATCAGATGAAGTATCCAAATATAAAAAATGCAAAATTTTTACAAAAATAGGTTGATAGCTTTATGACCCATTATAAATTAGTTAATAGAAGAAAAATAACAGTTTCTCAGAAGCTTCCAGAAAATTATATTGAATTACAAAATCAGTTTTTATCTTATATCCTATTTTGTCAAAAAGAATACCAAATATCCATTATCTTTAATTGCAAATATGGATGAAATACCAATGACTTTTAATTTACCAAATAATACATCAGTTGAGCAACGTAATAGTAAAACTGTATCAATTTTATCAACTGGTCATGAACGTTTTAATTTTACTGTTGTTTTAGCTTGTATAACAGATAGGACAAATTACCTCTTATGATTATTTTTAAACTTGTAAATGTTTCACGTGAAGAGTTTCCTAATAGTATAATTATTTATGCTAATAAGAAAGGTTAGATGAATAAAAAAGAGATGATTTGGTGAGTGGAAAATATTTAGAAATAACACGCAAGATTAGGCACAAATCCAAAATCTCTTTTAGTACTTGACTCTTTTACAGCTCATAAAACTGATATTGTAAAAAATTAGTTTTATGAAAAAAATACAGATTTAACTATTATTCCAGATGGATTAACTTCTCGTTTACAACCACTTGATGTATCATTAAATAGATCTTTCAAGTCTAAGGTAATTATTTTATTTTAGTTATTATTTAATTAAAATAAATTA